AAATTACCCCTACCACCGCCACTACCCCATGTCACCACTGCCACTGCAGGACCAGATTCAGCAACACCAATGGTGCCACATGCCCAAGGCTACATGTGGGACACCAAGCTAGGCCACTGAACACTTCCTTGCCTGGCCACCACCCTGTCATGAGGACTGTCATTGTCATGACCCCAGGAGCACCACCTGTGGCTCAGCACCTGTCCCCACCACGCCTAACACCCATCTCCTCACCATCCCCAGGACTTCCCCCCACCACAGCCAGCTCCTGTATCCCCAACATGCCCATTACTTGCGCCCTCTCCACGCCTGTCACTTGTGTCCGCTCTGCACCCACCACACATCCCCACCACAACCATCACCTGTGTCCTCTCCGTGCCCACCACTCTTGTACCCACAATTCCTATCACTTTTGTCCCCTCCACACCCATTACCCTAGTCCCCACCATTCCCATAGCCCCTTCCCCACTATCATCCATGTCCCCACCAGACCCACTGGTGCCAGCACCACACCCACCCCCATATCCCAGGTTGATCACTCCCAGTCAGAGTGACCCCACCACCCCTCCCTGACCCTGTGGTCACCTCCTCATAGGGGTGGCATGTCCCCACCTTGGAGATCTTCATGAACTCCCTGATGGCTGTCTTCTCTGTGGGGAACTGCTCCTCCAGCGCAGTGACAAAGGCCACCTTGCCGGCGCGCAGCTGATAGCGCCGGGGTCCTAGGGTCACCTCATCATAGGGGTCAGGCAGGCGCTGCCAGCAGAGCTGCCCATCCGTCAGCTGGTCCAGTGCCACGCGCAGGAGGCTGCCCTCGTGCAGTTGCCCCACGTAGTGGATGCCTGCAGAATGGGGACAGGGGATACAGGGGGGGGACATCGAGGGGGTCACATGGACACGTGGTGGGAGCAGCTGGGGGGCAATAGGGGAGGGAAGGGTTTGGCTTTTGCCTGTTGTGGGTCACACTGAGGGTGGGGAGTGGGATGGGCTGCTGGCATGGCACGGATATGGCATGGACATGGAATAGACATGGCATGGTTATGGAACACATATGGCATAGACATGGCAAGCACATGGCATGGATACAGCACAGGCACAACACGGACATCATGGCACAGACACAGCACGGTTATGGAACGCACATGGCACAGATATAACAAGCACATGACATGGACATGGCATGCGCATGGTATGGGCAAGGCACATGCACAACATGGCATGCACACGGTACACGTACAGCAAGCCCATGGCACGGACACAGAGCTCACATGACATACACATGGCACAGTCACAGCGTGGATACAGCACGGACACGGCACACAAATGGCATGGACACAGCACACATGCACAGCACACACAATGAGCACACACACACTACATGCCAAAAGCACGTGTGTTGTATGTAGACAGTGCACACGTGCACTGCACACATGCGTTCACATGCCCCTGCCCACTCAGGCACACACACAGACACTGTGGGGGCAGCAGCAGTGCCCGGTGATGCCAGGGGGCTTGGGGAGTTTCGGGGGCTTGGGGGTCCTTACCAACATCAAACTCGATGCCATGCTTCTGGAAGGTGTGGCAGCACCCGCCAGCCTGGTCATGCTGCTCTAGCACCAGCACTCGCTGGCCCACCTTGGCCAGCGTGGCAGCCACTGCCAGCCCCCCCACGCCACTGCCGATGACCACGGCGTCCAGCTGCTCCGGCACCCGCTGGGGGCTGAACCCTGGGCACAGACATGGGATTAATCACTGCCCACGGCCACCACTGCGCACTGAACCCTGGGCACACACGTGTGATTAACCACTGCCCGTGGCCACTATGTTCAGCCGCTCGGGTACTCGCTGGATGCTGAATCCTGGGCACACATGTGATCAGCCCCTGCCTGTGATCACCATCAGACACCCTGAACCCTCTGCAGGCACAGTGCACCTGACAGTGACCCCGCAGCGACTCTGCGATGCCTGTGTCCAGCCACTCTGGCACTCACAGGGCACTGAGCCCTGCAGATGTGATCAACCACTGCCCACAGGAACCACATCAAGCCTCTTTCGCACCTGCTGGGTGCTGGACCCTGGGCACGAGCGCTTGATGAGCCCCTGCCTGTGGCCACTCCTGGGCACTGAACCCTGTGCCCACACACGAGCTCAGCCTCTGCCCACTATCCCCACCGGGCACTGAGCCCTGTGCACACGCTCAGCCCCTGTCAGTCACCATCCCTGGGCACCCTGTGCACACACGTGCAACAGGCAACACGAGGGTACGTAATGGGTAGCACACCCAGCATTCCATGGGACAGATGAACACACAGACAGAGGGACATATGACAGACACCCAGCACTCACCCCGCTTCAGGACCCTGTCCCGGGCACGTTGGTCCATCACCAGAGGCCGGGGGGGCTCCAGGGGTGGCCCAGCGAAGGGGTTGCCAGACGGGGCCAGCAGCTTGTGGGCCACCCGCCCCAGAGCCAGCACACCCAGGGCCACCAGCAGCAGCAGCGTGGGCCACATGGCTGTCACCACAGATGGGATGCACAGGTATAGACACACCAGGGACATGCTACAGCCCCACACGTTTGGCTCTGACACTTATAGACACAGCAGCTTATGGACAAAGGGGATTATGGACAGGCTTACAGACACCCCTGCTTAAAGACACACGAGCTCCAAGACACACCCCCTATGAAAAGGGCATCTTATAGCCACGGTAACCTATGGCACGCTATGGCCACAGCTTCCTGTGGGACCCTATGGCACCCTCTGGCACCTCATGGCCATGGCATCCTATGGCACCCTGGTGGCTGGGGCACCCCATGGCACCCTATGGCACCATAAGGCCAAGGCATTCTATGGCTTCCTGTGGGACCCTACGGTGCCCTGTGGCCACAGTTCCCTGTGGGACCCTATGGTGCCCTATGGCCACAGCTCCCTTGGCCATGGCATCCTGTGGCTCCCTATGGGACCCTGTGGCACCCCCTGACACCCTATGGCACCCTATGGCTCCTTATGTCACCCCATGACACTCCACGGCACCTTATAACTCCTTATAGCACCCAATGGCTCCCCGTGGGAGATGCACACACATGTGCGTGGGGCACAGGCGTGTGGGGCACTGCTGTGTCAAGCACTGCACACACACACACACACACACACACACACACACACACACACACACAGCAGGCAGCTGTGCACCCATGTGCACATCCACACTTGTGCAAGGGAACACATACCCTCTCCACACCTGTGAGAGCAATGAGGACACACACATGGGCTGACACACACACACACACACACACACACATGTCCATGCAAACACATATGTGCACGCACACACACACACAGAGTCACTCCCGTGCACACACACCCAGGCAAACACACGTATGCACAGACACGGGTTGACACATGCACACAAGTCTGTTCAAATTACACGTGTCCACACACGTCGGTGCACGCACGTGCACTCATACACACACTCCCGTGCAAACACACACATGCACACACATGTATGTGCACACAAGTGCACCCATACACACACTGACCCTGTGCACACATGTACACACCCCCTGTGCAAACACGCATGTGGACACATGCACATGTATGTGCATACACATGTACACCCATGCACACACTCCTGTGCAAACACACACGTGCACCCACACACATCTATGCAAACACACACACACTTACTCACCCACACGCAACCCTCCCCACCCACCCTTTCCCCTTCCCCTGTGCCTGCAGTTCTGCTGACCTCTCCTGGCAGCACCAAGGAAGGGCCCGTGTGTGCACCATGACACACACATATGTACACCGCATGTACACCCCACGCACGACCACCCCATCCTCTCAACAACCTCCCCCAAACGGAACACACCACATACCCACAGTCACCAAACCCCAAACAGAATATGTACACATACATGTACACACACACGAACACACACGTGCACAAATGTGTGAACATACATGTACACCCCATGCACACACCTCACACCCAATCAAACCCTCCCTATCCCAACCAAACCCCCCCAGCACCCACAGCCACCAAAACCCAAATATAACGTGTGCACACATGTACACACACATGTGCAAACACACTTATGTGCACACACGTGTGTGCACACACCTCCCACCTCAGCTGCAAACTGGTGCCCAATGTGCATTTGCAGATTAAAACCCGTCACCACCAGGTGGGAAAGGGGTAGAGGTGACATGTGTGACACAGGTGACACCGAGTGCCCCCCAGGGGTCTTCTTCCCCCCCCGCCCCCCCATCCCAATTCACCAGGAGGAATAAAACCACCATTTTTCTCACCTTTAATAAAATCCACAGTAAAGTACCAAAAAGGAGCAACAGGGGGACAAGGATGGGGGGCACGGTGCAAGGGGGCGGGGCAGGGGGACATGAAGCAGGAGGGACATGGGGGCACACCCTGCACTACCCAAGTCCTTGTCCCTTGGGGTCACCCCATGTCATCACCCCCAGCCCCAGATACCCCTGGCGAGCCCTGAGCCACAGTCCCCCCGCTGGGGTTAATTAAAGGGTGGAACCCAAGCGGGGAGGGGGGAGGGAGGGGTTATTGCTACCTGGGGAGGAGGGCCACAAGGGACAGTGAGGGAACCCCCACCCTGGTAAAGGAAAGAGGGGGCCCCATGAGGGAGTTGTGGTCTGTGGGGGTGGAGGGGTGGGTCAGGACACCTGAAACCACAACAGCTTCTAAGACTCCATCTGGGTGTAACCCCCCCTCCCCAAAATCCCACAGCCCCCCCGACTCCAATCCCAGGGGGTCCCAAACTGGGACAGGGTGGGCTTCCCCATGGGGAAACTGAGGCAGGGGACTATGAAGAGTGGGGGGGATCGCTGTCCTCCCCATGTCCCCCAGCTGGGGGGTGGCACAACCCCCTGGGGTAATTTGGAGAGGGGGTGAGGTTTTGGCAGTGAATTAGCTGTGTGGGTGCTGGGCATGGTGGCGGGGGCTGTGCCCCACCATGGGTCCTCACCCTCCAAATCTGGGGCTGGGTAGGGGGGGAGAGAAGAGTCAGGCTTGAGTTGGGGGGGCTCTACAGAGAGCCCCCAACCACACAATCCCACAGTGCTGAGCACAAGCTCATCACACCAGTGGGTGAGGCACAACCCCCCTCCACCCCCACAGCCCTCCTGGGTGCGCTGGGGGGGGAAGAGGGGAGGGTTTTGTGGCCCTTGCCTGTGGGGGCAGGGGGGTCACTAGTAGACCCAGGTGACAGGCACCCACTGGGGCTGAACACGCAGGTGATCCATGGCCTCCCGGAGCCTCAGGAAGGTTCGCTCCAGGTCATCGTTGATCAGACTCAGGTCGAAGTAGTGCCCGTACCCGCGCTGGATCCGGCTACTCTCCTCCACAGTCCGCTGGGCATCTGCCTCCTGCACCCCACAACTGCCTCAGGATCCCCATCACCCCCCAGGGACACTGGAGACACCCTCTGTCTGTTAAGTATCTGCCTTCTGCACCCCAAAACTGCCTCGGTTTCCCCATCACCTCCCAGGGCTGGCAGAGGAACACCCATCACCCACCTTCAGCCCTCCAAAACCTGCCTCAGTTTCCCCATTGCCCCCCGAGGTGGCAGGGGGACATCCACTATTCGCCTTCAGCTTCCCACAGCCCTGCCTCAGTTTCCCCTTCCCTCAGGCCCCCAGGACACACACCATGAGCTGTTTGGTGTCCCCCAGGACACTCACCGTGAGCTGTTTGGTGGCCATGCCACTCTCCAAGGCTGCTCGGTTCATGGCCCGCAGGGTCTCAGGGCAGGGGGCTTCGATGAACACCACGTATGGCACAAACTCAGCCGTTCTCAGCACTTTCACTGCCTGGGCGGGAGGGGACAAAGTCACCAAAATCCTGGGAAATAAACCCTCTAACCCAGTTTGTCAGGTTAGAGAGTTTATCTGGCATTGAGGTGCATGGGCATGGCTCCACAAAACCTGTACATCAGTTACCAAAACTTTTAAGTATTTATACATTTTAGCAAACAAAGGAATTAGTGTTCATTGGTTTAGGTAGTTCTCTTCATTAATTATTATTCTATCTTCTACTGGTTATTGATTTCTCATTTCTCATGCTAATCAATCCACATTTTCAGTCTTTTATGATATTTTCCTGGAGAGGGAAAGTCTCTGGGAAATTGTCTGTTTGTTTCTTCTTCACCTCTCGTTTCTGCATCTTTGTGGTTTATACAAATTCTGCATTTGATGTCAACACTAAATTCCTCTCCCAGCTCTAAGAGCACTGAGCCATGCCAGGCCCTAAACCTTCCATTTATTCTTCCAACATACAGACATCACCCAGAGCTTGCCCATCATCCGTTATCTATTCCACTGATTAAATCTCCCCTCAACAATTCTTGCCCATGGCTGCATAGGTTGTTCTGTAAAGAAATACAACTTGTTGGGTAACAACAGTCACTGTCCCCCTCCCTGTGTCCCCTACCTGGGGGTTGACATCCAGAATGCACATCTTGCCAGCCTCCACCACAGCTCGGATGGAATCGATCCTGGTTCCGTACAGGTTTCCCTCATACTCGCCATGCTCTAGGTACCTCCCAGCCTTGATGTCGGCCTCCATCTCCCCCCGGGACACGAAGCGATACCCCTGCCCGTCCCGCTCGCTCTCCTTCGGCTTCCGAGACGTGTCTGCCAGTAGTGGGGACCCACCTGAGTGACACCCACACATCCGGGGTCCCATCCCAGGGGTGCTTACAGGGTGTGGGAATGATGGCAGGGGACAGCAATGGTCGCAGCAAACAGGGATGTTCACAAGGGACGGGGATGGTCATGGGGGACAGGGATGCTGGAGGGGGACAGGGATGTCCCCAGAAGACAGATATGCTGGCAGGGTTGGGACAGAGATGCCATCAGGGACAGGGATGGTCATGGATGACAGGGATGGTCACAAGAGACAGGGATGCTGGAGGGGGACAGGGATGGTTGCAGGGGACAGGGATGCTGGAGGGGGACAGGGATGATCACAAGGGACAGGGATGGTCATGGGGGAAGGGATGTTCACGAGGATGGTGATGCTCATGGGGGACTGTGATGCTCATGGGAATGATGCTACTGGCAGGAAACAGGAATGCTCAAAAGGGATAGGGATGGTCGGAGGGGAGAGGGATGATGCAGTGGACAGGAATGGTCCTGAGGGACAAGGATGGTTGCAGGTGACACAGATGGTGGCAGGAGGCAGGGATGGTCAGAGGGGACAGGGATGCTCACAGATGACAAGGATGCTCCCAAGGGACAGGGATGATCACAAAGATGGTGCTGCTCACATAGGACAGTGATGCTCATGGGAGTGACGAATGATGTTGCCAGCAGGGGACAGGGAAGCAGGTGAGGGGTGGTGATACCAGTGGGCTCAGTGATGCTCATGGGGACTGTACTGCCAGGGGGACAGGGAACACTGTCGGCAGGGCCAGAGGCCACTCACAGGGGATGGTGGTGCCGTAACGTGCCTGGTCTGACATGATGAGCTTGTTCTTGAGGCTGCGTCGCCCCACGCCCTGTGCCCCAATCAGCACCAGTGTTTTTCGGCGGAACGGCGGCATCCGCGCCACCTCCTCATAGATCAGCAGCTCGTGCCGGTCGAACTCTGGGTGAGGGGCAGGGCTGGAATCCGTCCAGGGGGACGCCTCGTCCCCAGGAGGTACCACCATGAACACAGCCCCGGGGCTGCCCCCCTCCTTTCCTGAGGGAATGCCAGAGGACACTCACCGGCATTCTTTGTCGTCAGGTACATCATCCTCTTCTTCCTCCTCCCGCTGAGGCTGCCACACAGGGCCCCTGCGAGGGCAAGGGGCTTGCTGTGCTGGGGACAGGGACAGGGAGAGTGCCATGGCACGAGGACAGTGCAAGGGGAGCTGGGACCCAACACAGGGGCAGTGCTGTACGGACATCACTCTGGGAAGTGGGAACATGACCCCAGGAATTGGGAAACTCCTGCAGTGACAGTGCCATGAGGGTGTCACCCTGGAGCAATGGAGACATCAGCCCACAAACAGGGGACTTGCCACAGGAACAGTGCCATGTGACATGGAGACATGACCCTGGGAACTGGGGACATCATCCTGCAAACTGGGGACACTATCTCAGGAACTGGGGACCTGCTGCTGTGACAGTGCATGAGGACATCACCCTGGGAACTGGGGATATCACCCCAGGAACTGGGGACTTGCCACAGGGGCAGTGCCATGAGGACATCACCCTGGGGCAATTGGGACATTGCCACAGGGTTCAGGGGACCCACTGTGCTCCCTTGCCACGATGTGCCCCCTTGTCCCCCACCCCCAGAGCGATGTTCCCCCCCCTGCCACCCCGAGGCCAGGCTGGGGTCCCCATACCCGACGTGGGGGTCACCTCCCCGTCCCGCTTGACAAAGGCCTTGCGCTTCTCCTCCAGCAGCTGGCTGGGCACCAGTCCCGCACTGCCCCCCTCCACGTGGCATGCCTGGAGGCACAGAGTCACATGTGGGGACCCCCTCAGCCCCACGGGGACCCTCCTGAGCTACAGGGCCCCCTCCGCCCCACAGGGTACCACCTCAGCTGCAGGGACTCACCATCTCCCAGGAACCCTCCCCAGCTCCAGGGACTCCCCAGGCTGCACAGGGAACCCCCCCAGCTCCAGGGACACCCCCAGGCTCTAAGGACCCCCAGCTCCCAGATACCTCTCAATCCCTACAGGGACATACACTCAACTCCAAGGACCTTCCCCATCTCCAGGGACCCCCAAGACCCCCAGGAACCCCTCCAGCTCCAGGGACTCCCACCAATATCCAGAGACCTCCCCAGCACCAGGAACCCCCTCAAGCCGCACAGTTACTCCCACCCAGTTCTAGGAATAACCCCAGTTTCTTGGGACCCTCCCCAGATCCAGGGACACCCCCAAGCTCCCAGGAAACCCCTTTGTTCCCAGGGACACCTCCCAGTTCCCAGGAACCCTTCCCAGCTCCAGGCACCCCTCAAGCTTCGCAAACCAGCCAACTTTCCAGGGATGCTCCCAGGTACCCCTCTAGCCCACAGGGACCCCTTGATCTCCCACAGAACCCCTGATCCCCAACTCCCTCTACACCCTCGACAGATCCCGCTGCCAGGGGGACCTCCAAATGGGGAGCAAAGTGCCATGACCCCCCCAGACCACTGCCCCAGGGGGGGTGCCCCTGACCTGCCACCAGTTGGGGTCATCCTGGTTGACGATCTGCAGCAGGTCCCCAGCCATGAACTTGAGCCCAGCCTCCTTGCAGGGGATGAGGCTGTCGGTGGCCGGGTCGTAGTCGAAGTGGCACTTGACAAACACCTTGGGACCATGGGGGTCAGCACGGGGGGACCCCCAGGCACCCCACTCTGCTGTCCCATGCCTCAGTTTCCTCAGCAAGGACACCTGTGTGCACCTCTCTAGGTACCCTCCCTGCCACGGTGCCCCCACCGTGCCCGGTGCAGCCAGGCCCGTGCGGCCCCCGCACACATGCAGAGGGCCCCAGTTGCCGCTGCGGTGCCCCACAGGACCCCCACGGCGACTCCCAGGCACAGCCCCACGGCCACGCACAGGCACACGCATGTGCCCAGCACCGCCAGCGCCACCCCTGCCAGGATACACATCCGTGTGCAGGGATGCAGGACACAGTGCTGGTGGCGGAGGGATGTCGCAGGGATGGCCCAGACAGGGACACGTGGTGCCAGGGGATGTGGTGTGGTGACAGGGTTGTTTTGTCTCCCCACAGAGACAGGGAGTGCCTGGCACAGGGCAGGGAGGGGGGGGCACGGGGTGGGCACCCTTTGCCAGCCGGCACCCTGTGTGGAGATAGGGATGGGGAGAGGGCAAGGACAGGGCAGGGATGGGGACAGGGGTAGGGACAGGGACAGAGCAGAGACAGAAACAGGATAGGGATGGGGCAAGGGCAGGGACAGGGACAGTGATGGGGACAAGATGGGGATGGGGACAGGACAGGAACAGGGCAAGGATGGAGAAAGGGCAGGAATGGGAACAGGGCAAGGACAGGCACAGGTCAGGGATGGGGATGACAGGCACAGGGCAAGGACAGGGGCAGGGCAAGGACAGGGGCAGGGCAAGGACAGGAGCAGGGCAAGGACAACCACAGCCTGGTGCCCACCACTGTCAGGCACACAGGGCACGGTTGGGGACACAGGGGTCCCACCAGCCACAGAGCACATTGGCACAGGGTATGGACAGGGGGACAAGGGAATGTGGGGCTCAGGGGGCACATGGGGAGATGAGGAACATGGCAAGGGGACAGGGGATGTGGGGCACATGGGCACAGGGACAACAGGTGGGGATGGGGAGACAGAGATGGGGGCCACAGGGTAGGGGGAGCTGTGGGCAAGGGTGCTGAGGGTGGGATGCAGGGGTGACACTGCCAGGGTGGGATGCAGGGCGGGATATGGAGCAGGATGTAGAGCAGGATGGAGGGGCAGTACCTGGCGGGGCTGGATGCAGGGTTAAATGCAGGGCAGGATGTGGGGTGGGATGCTGGCGTGGTATCTGACAGGGCAGGATGCAGGGTGGGATGCAGGATGGGATGCAGGATGGGATATGGGGTGGGATGCAGGGGTGGTACCAGACAGGGCAGGATGCAGGGTGGGATGCGGTACCTGGCAGGGTGGGATGTGGGGCGGGATACGGGGTGGGATGCAAGGCGGGATGCAGGGGCAGTACCTGACGGGGCGGATGAGGCTCCTGGTAGCTGGGCAGGATCTTGAGGACGACACTGCCGCTGGCATGACGCAGGCTGTCCTGCAGCACCCGTGGGTCGCTGCCCACCTCACGCCCGTTCACCTCGCGGATCACATCCCCCACGTGCAGTAGCCCCTGCTGCGCCACCATTCCCCCGTGCAGGATGCGGGCGATCACCAGCTCCCCCCGTTCCACCCGGAAAGTCACCCCCTAAAGGGCACAGCCCTGCTTAGCCGCCAGCAGGGACTCACCACAGCACCCAGTGACACCCACCCAGCACCCACCGTTCACCCTGCAAGGTGCCCAGCACCCTGAAATACCCCCAGCACCCCATAATATCCAGGGCACCCCATAATATCCCCAGCACCCCAAAACACTCCCAGTCACCCCAGTAATGTCCTCAGCACCCTGAAATGCCCCCAAGAACCCCAAAATGTTCCCCACTCCCCAAAGTGACCCTCAGCACTCTGCAATGCCTCTAGCACCCCAGCAATATCCCTATCACCCCACAATGCCTCCAAGAACCCCAATATGGCCCCAAGCACCCCAGCAATGTCCCCAGCACTCTAAAATGCTCCCAATGAACCCCCCACTACCCCAGTAGGCTGTAGCACCCTCAGCATAACCTCAAAATGTCCCAGCACGTCACAGTGCCCCTAGGACTCCCCAGCCAGGCTCACCAGGTTCTCCCCTGCTGCCTTGCGGATGCCCACCATGCGCACAGCGTCAGGGGGAACAGGCTGCGACCCCAGGGGGGGCTCCAGAACAGGGCTGCTCGGGGGGGGGTCATAGCTCTTGGCAGCCACTGAGTCATGGGTCTCCAGCAGTGACTGGGACACATGGGAGAGGGGTCACAGCTGTGTCCTACGCACCTGGCACACATGTGCCACGCACCCTAGCACACACATCACGCACACACGTCACACACACCTCTGGCATAGGAGGGGGGTCACACCTGTGTCACACCCCCCAACATTCAGAGTGTCCCACACCCCTCGCACAGGAGGAGTCCCACGTGTCTCCCACACACCTGGCACATGTGTGTGTGACATGCATATGTGTCACACCCACCTCGCATGGGAGGGGGTGTCACACCTGCATCCTACACACCTGGTGCATGTTGTGTCACACTCCCCCAGCACACACGTTTGTCACGCACTCCTCAGCACACACACATGCCATGCAGGACAGGAGAGGGATCCAGAACAGGAGGGGGATCCCACCTGTGTCACACCCCCAGCACACACTTGTCCCACGCCCCCCGGTACAGGAGTGTCCCACGCGTGTCCTGCGCACCTGGAAGTGTGGTTCCCGCAGGATCCGGGCCAGCTCAGCCGCTGCTCCCTGCCCGTCGGGCCGCGTCAGCCGCCCTATGTCCCGCAGGATCTCCTGCACCAGCGCCAGGTTGTCCCCGCGAACCGCCTCCAGCTTCCGCTCCTCCAGCCGCTCGTGCGCCTGGGGGGCACCGCGGGGGGACCCCCAGGTCGGCAGGGGGGTTAGGGAAGACCCGGGGGATCAGGGACCCCCAGGGGATCAGGGAGGCTGGGAAGTTCTGGAGGGGTTACGGACCCCCAGGGTCTTGGGAGCTTAGGCTACATTCATACAGGTGTGTACACACACAGACCCCTCCCTGCATGCACACATGTGCAAGCACACATCCCTGTATGCACACATATGTGTACGTGCACACCCATACGTGCACACCCAGGCAAGTGCCCATCCACATGCATGTAAAAGCACACATACATGTGCACATGTACACACACATGTGCAAACACAGAGACACCTCCCTGCACACACACACACGTGAGCATATGCACAGACGTGCAAGCACAGATCCATGCATGCACACGTGAGTGCACACCCATGCATGCACACGCATGTGCAAGTGTCCATCCACACGCATGTTCAAGTACGCATACATGCGGAAGTGTACACAACTGTGTGCAAACAGGCACAGACCCCTCCCTGCATGAACACACATGTGCAAGCACACATCCCTGCGTTCACACGCATGCATGCACACACAGGCAGGCGCCCATCCACACGCAGGTACAAGCACACACACGTACATGTGTACACATGCATGTGCAAACATGCACAGATACCTCCCTGCATGCACACACACATGTGCAAGCTCACACCCGCGCATGCACACACACTTGCCTGGATAGACATGCAGACACACGCATGCACACACATGTGCATCACCCCCCACACAGCCCGGGGTATCCCGGGGTGGGGCACGGTGCCCTCCCCGTGCCGCGGTACCTTGGCCAGGGAGCGGACGATGGGGCTCTCCATGATGCCCCGCAGGAAGATGAGGTCAAGGTCGGCCACCCCTGGGGACCCTGGGAGCCCCATCAAGTTGTCCAGGACCTGCTGCATGGCTGGGGGAGCACACGGGGGACACGGAGTGAAGGGGATAGGGTGGTAACGTGGGTAAAAGTCAAGTGCAGCCAGGGATGCTCGTTCGTCCACCCCCCCATTCCTGTCCCGCTCACCTCAGGGCCCCTTCCCATTGTGGGTATAGTGCGGGGGTCCTGCGGGAGCAGGGAAATCCCCGCTCCTCCTCTGTCCAACAGGAGAGACAAAAGGATGTGCCCCCCCCAAAAAATAAAACGCCCCCCGGAGGGCAATGCAATTGGTGGGGTAGGGGGGGGGTGGAGTTTGATGCAGTTGGGCGGTGATGCAATTGGGGGGCAATGGAATGAGGGGTTGCGATGGGGGGATGATGCAGCGGGGGGGTGCGGTGAGATGAGGGGGCAATGGAATGGGAGGGGGAAGGAGGGGTGGCGATGGAGGGGGGTGCCGCATCCGGGGCAGCGCGGGTGGGAGCGGCTGCGCGGCTGCGCTGCAATGACGGGGGACGATCGCGATGCAACGGAGGGGGCCATCCATCAGCCCCCCACACCTCTAGGGGGGCCACAGCATCACCCAGAGACCCTCCGCCATCCCCATCTCCCTGCACTCACCTCATCCCCCACTCCATCCCAACCCCTCCATGCCCACGCCACCCAGCCCGACTGGCATCACCCCACCGCGTGGCATCACCCCCTGCTCGCCCCAGCCCACCCCTCCCCGTACCTGGCGGTCCCGGGGGGTCGCGGACGGGGGCTGGGGCGGGCGGTGGGGACCCTCGGCCAGGGCGGCTCATGGCTGCGGGGCAGGGCTCCCCCGTCCCAGATCCGGGTACTGCCGCGCCCCCCCCCCCCCCCCCCCCCCCCCCCCCCCCCCCCCCCCCCCCCCCCCCCCCCCCCCCCCCCCCCCCCCCCCCCCCCCCCCCCGCGCCCCCCCCAGCCCCCAGGCCCCAACGCGCTGACACGGGCGCCCCCCGTGCACGCCCACGCGCGCTCACGCTCGCGTGCAAACCCCCGCGTGTCCCCCGCGCTCCCTCCAGCGCCTGCGGGACCCCCCGTACCCGCTCACTCGTCCTTACACACTCGTGGCTTGCACACCCGCTCATGCGTGGGAGCCCCCTCCCGCAGCGCCCCCCGCGGCGTGGGGAGGGGGGGACAGCGGGGGCTCGGCCCCTTTAAGGGTGTGGGGAGGGAGGGGGTGGGAGCACGGATTTAAAGAGGCCGCACCACACTCTTGTGTACACTCACCCGCACACGCACGCACGCAGACACGCACACGCAGGAGCCCACCCTCGCAGAGCCCGTCGCGCAGTGCCGACTCCTCCAGGAGCAAGCTCCCCTGCTCTGGGACACTCATGTGCCAATCCTGGGCTTGCCCCGTGCACACGCGTGTGCCCACCCTGTGCCCACAGCCCCACGCACACGCACCCTGTGGTCCCACACGGCCTCCCCACCTGCAGCTGCCCCCGCAAACGTGCACGGGAGGGGTTGTTGCCCCCGTGTGTGCGTGTGCAAGCGCCAGGTGGGGCACACTCACCTGTGACCGAGGCGGGGCTGGCCGCCGGCATCCCGGTAGAGCTGCGGGTACGGCGGGACACGAGTGACTGGCACCGACGGGACGGGGACGGGCACAGGGATGGCCGCGGAGGCGTGTCCCCAGTGCCAGCCCCTCCAGTGTCCCCAGCACAGCCAGACTGTGTCCGCAGTGCCAGCACCTCCAGTCTCCCCAGTGCCACCAGTGTCACTAGTGCCAGCACCCCTGGTGTCCCCAGAACCCCAGTGTCCCCAGCACGGTCTGCACCCTAATGTCTTCAGTGCCCCAGTGCCCCCAGTGTCCCCAGCACCAGTGTCCCATGTTCCCAGCATGCCCAGCGCCACCAGTGCCCTCAGCCCCAGCACCCTCAATGTCCTCAGGTCTAGCGTCCCATGTCCCCAGCACCCCCAGCGCCACCAAAATCCTCTTTGTCCTCAGCACCCACAGTGTCCCCCCCGTGTCCTCAGCGATCCCAGTGCCAGCACCCCAATGTCCACAGTGTCCCCAGCACCTTCGGTGTCCCCAGTGCCATCACACCAAGTGTCCCCAGCGCTCACAGTGCCCCTGGAGTCCTGAGCCCCTCCCAGTCCCCCCCTCAAGTATCCCTCTGAGCAGGCAAAGGTAGGACAGGCGGTGGCTGCAGGGGGGTTTATTCCTGGGGGTCTGTCCCTGCCCCGCGGGGTCGGGGGACGAGGGTATGGTGGGGGATGGGGGCCGCATCCCCCTGGGCTCCTCTTCACCCACTCGGCCCCGGCAGCGTCCCTGCAACAAGAGGGAGGTCAGCACCCTGAGACCCTGCGGGGCCCCTCAGCCCTGTGTCCCCCACCCTGCAGGGCCCCCCCAGGTCCCCCTGGCCCTGTGTTCCCCACACCAGCATCCCACAGGGACCCCCAGATCCCCCCGGCCGCATGTCTCCCACCTCACACCCTTCAGGAACCCCCAGATCCCCCTGGCCCCATGTTCCCCACCTTACACACCGCAGGGACCCCCTGAATCCCCCCAGCCCTCTGTCCCCCAGGATGACCCCCATTGGGGAAACTGAGGCTCGGGTGGCACTGGGGGATGGTCCTCCCGCCCGCTGCCCCTCTGACCCCCCTTACCTGGAGACTCAGCACCCCACAGCACCTAAGGGCTCCTCACCCAGCATGTGCCCGCCTGCCCGCTTTCCATACCTGTAACGGGAGGGGCACGTTACAGGGGCAGCGGGGGGGGGTGCTCTGGTGGGGTGGGGGCACATGGGGAGCACGTCGCAATAGGGAGCGTGTCTTAACAGGAAGCGTGTTGTGACGGGGAGGGTGTCACGATGGGGAGCGTGTTGTGATGGGGCCTGTGTGGCAATGGGGAGTGTGCTAGGATAGGGAGCGTGTCATGACAGGGACAATGTCGCAGTGGAGAGCCCATTGCAATGAGTAGCACATCGTGTTGCAATGGTGAGGCAAGTGTGTCGCAGAGGTAAATGTGTCGCAGAGGGAAGTGTGTCACGACGGGCAGCATGCCACAACACAGAGCACATCGCAGCGAGGAGGGTGATGCGACGGGGAGAATATCGCGACCGTGAGCACGTGTAGGGCAGGCCCTGCTCACCGGGGGCGTGTCACGACGTTCAGGTACTGCTGCAGGTCATTGTAGAAGCGTAGCAGGTCCTCGACGGGTGCGTCGTCGCCGGGGTAGGTGGGCTGGGCTGGGGCCGCGCGGGTTCGCAGCGGCAGCAGCACCAGCACGCAGGCCACCAGCAAGAACGGAGGCCAGCGGGGAGACATGGCTGGGGACAGGACAGCTGTGAGCACGCGTGTGTGCACGGGACACGGATCACACACGGCTGGGGACAGGGCAGCTGTGCACACACTCCCACGTGCACACATCTGCATGCTTCATGTACTCGCTCATGTGTGCATACATTTGTGAACACTCAAGCACATACACGCACATACACACACACGTGCTTGAGTACACACAGCCCCACATTCACATGCACACACACATATGCACACACATGCACACACTCCCACGTGCACACACCTGCACACTCCCATGCCCACTCCATGTCCTACCCCTGCACACTCACCCCCACACTCCCAGCCTTGTACAACCGTGTGCACACCCATTTCACACACCCCCACACACTCCAGCCCCTTGCACACCCCACTGATCACACACCCTCCCTCTGCTCACACCCACACCCCCACCTTTCCACAGCCCTCTGGCCCCACTCACCTGCTTCCACGGGTAGGGGCACAGCAGGACGAAGGGACACAGCAGGATGAGGGGACGCAACTGACACCGTGGTTCCTTGTTGCCACAACTGCCACTGCCGTGCTGGCCCTTATATCCCCCTGTACGGGCCCCCCCCCGACGTCACCCTGCCACGCAGCACCTGTGGCCAGGTGCCCACTTGGCCGGGGGGGGAGGCTGGGGCCATTGTGGGGGGTGGCAGGGACAGGTGGCCCCTGCACAGCACTGGTTAATGTTTGACCCTGGGCTGGGGGTGCTTCTGTGGGGGGACAGGATATGGACGTGGGTGTCCAACGTCAGGGATGAAAAGAGGGACAGCTGTGGGGACAGAGGGATTAGAGGGGAACAGCCAGGGGGGCTGGTGGAGTGCAAGGGTGGGAGGTGGTCAAAGGGGTGGACAGATGGATGGGAAGTGGGACAGGGGGACATTGGAGGGACAGACAGATGGACGGGGGTGTGGGAAGGCTGAGGGAGTGAGGGGGGCAATGTTGAGGTGAGGGGTGGATAGAAGGACAGAGGAAAAAAGGGACAGAGGGACAGAGACATCGGTGTGAGGGAGACACAGCCATCCCCCACTGTGGCCATGCCTGAGGATGTGGCTGTCCCCCTGCTCCCACCATGGACAGGTGGAGGGTCAGTGGGATGGGGGACCCCCAGGCCTGGTACAGCCCTGATGGCTGCAGTCCCTGTGCGAGGGGACCCCATGGTGGGTGTCAGCACCCACTACCCTTGCACCCCACACCCAATAAACTCCAGTACCCCCATGCACATCAACACCACTGCCAGTGCACCCCACATCCAGTTCCTCCTACAGCCAGAGCACCCCTGCACCCACTGCTGGCACACCCCACACCTAGTGCACCCCGTACTTCCACCCCAGCACCCACCGCCAGTGTCCCCCTGTGGCCTATGAGCCCAACACCATCACGCCAAGCACACCCCCAACCCCATGCAGCTCCACACCCAGCCTCAGGGAACCCCATTTCCCGTGCA